TTCACCCGCGACCCAACAGACTGGTAGGATTACATGGGCGGTCCGAGAACTTTCCGTAAAGTAAAGAACTTTAATGTCCATTTATTTTGGAAACGGTTGTGATTAATTGGTGTAATAAATGGTAGGAGTTATTCCCAAAACGTGAGTGATATAAATGCAGAGTAAAAGCGGAAGTAAATAAATAAGTAAAACGACAAATGGTGGGTTCATGCCTAAATGATTAATTAATTCAGATGATTATAGTTATTAAAACTCGTCCGTGCGCCGCCCATCTTCCCACCATCACTGTCCTCCAAGGTTAGCACCTGTACTGTCATGTCTACCTGCGTGTAGCAAAAACAACTACACGCTCAGCAAAAGCTGAGGAGTGAATCTAACAAAAGAACATGAAGTGATAACCCATATGATTATACACATATTAATACCTGTACTTTAACGTACGGAAAACCACATGTTTACTTACTGATTAATTCGCACTTGATGGGATATTTTTACACATAACAAAATGAATAACAACCACATTGAATGTTGATGTGACGTGGAACATACATGATGATGACGACCACATTGAATGTTGACATGACATGGAACACACATGATGACGATATGACTTGATGCATGACTTAACTCTCAGGGACACCCCTGGCTTAGTCTCACTTGACAGGATCACCCCTGCACTCTGGTAATGAGCTGGGCTTGACGAAAATGTCGCAAGTGAACTAGCAAAACTGGGTAGTAGCCGTAACCTGACTACTATGTACGAACACAAAGCCCACCTGATGAAAACCAATTTGATCCCAATGGTTCCTGGACGGGCCCACTGTAGTAGGCGCACGAAAGCCTGACCTCCCTACGGCGGTATGCACATGATGAAAAACCTAGGACATGCGTCTAGAATGGACATGATGAATGCTTTATATATTTACCTTTGGTCAACGCCAGAATATATCAATTAAATAACATATATAATGAGAATTAACATTTCGTGCAAACATACAACCAGATTCTGTGTCAATATGGTCAACGGGGCTCGTTCTACAAACTGCCCAGAAATCTGCCCGCGAAACGGTCGACCATGACCCACTGGCGGTTGACCGTGGGCTATGGTCTGGGTCTGGGTTTCAAACGGTCCAGCGTGGTCTTCCGTCATGGCTGACGGTCGACCGTCCCGGCGGTGACCGCTGGACTGGCCGAGGGTACGGTCCACCGTCTGAAGTAACGGTCGACCGTCCCGGTGACAGTCTTCTGTCCTAGAATTAGAGGGGACAACTACTCACCTCTAAATGATGTGTTGAAACCACGATAGGACGAGATGAGCGAATGGATGACGATGAACGAACAAATGAATGAACGGTTGAATGACGAATAACGTTCAACTTCTCGTGTGAACCTCTCCTCTTCTACCTCCCCATCTACTTGCCGGAAAACCTTTTGGAGCTGCTATGACCTGACTGAAAATGCAAGGGAAAGGGAAGAGATGGGTGTTATGGTTTGGGGAGGTTACACATGATGAGAGAAATGAAGGGGAAGAGGAATTTATATTTAAAAGAATTGATGGAGGAATAATAGGGTATTAAAAGTGGTATTGAGTGGGGGTGGGGGGTTATGGTCTCTGGCGTGAGTATTGAGGTGGAATTAAATGGGGAGTTATCTCCCTAAACTCTACTCTGTTGTGTAGAATCTGACCCAAACAGCACACGGTTTTTCCCCCGAATGGGTCCGAATTGAGATCCGGTTGTGTTTCCGGAATCAGACAGTCAAAACGAATTTAATGACATGTTCAAATAATTTTTCTAAGAACTTTATTTTCAAACTTCCGGCTCCACCCCAATCATTAATTAATTCATTTAATTATTGTTGACAGGTCCGTTATTAAAACGTCTTTTTATATTAACATACATTAGCTTTGAAAAGCCATTTAAAGAGATCGAATTCTCAATATTTATTAATTTAAAATAATGAGTCTTAATAAATAAATAATATATATTTATTTAAAACTAGGCCAGTTTGAGGGCGTTACAATTATCTCCCCCTTAAAGGAATTTCGTCCCCGAAATTCTCTCCTAGTCGCACCTCACTTGTTTAGGGAGATAGTGCGTTATCCAAAACTTTGTTTTGTGAAGCATACGAGGCCATAATAGATTAAAAACCCATTGACAAATGAGCGTATAACGCAATTAGTATGACGCTTCGATGTGTGCTCACGTGCTCAGGCTTCCCATGTGGGACAGCCTGTCCATCATTGCCTGCTGCTTGGCTCATTCTCTATAAGAAGAGCTTAAAATCAGAACTAATTACAATATGACATATAAATGAATAAAATAACGGTGTACCTTTCCCTGGGAGTAATGTGATGGGAGATGCGGCTGTGGACTTTTTGAAAATACCCTTTGACCAAGATGACAAAATATTTTTTTTTCTTCACAAAACAGAACTTCTCTGATACCAAATTGGTACACCCGCCTTCTGGGGACCCGGTTCACCCGCGACGCAACAGACTGGTAGGATTACATGGGCGGTCCGAGAACTGTCCGTAAAGTAAAGAACTTTAATGTCCATTTATTTTGGAAACGGTTGTGATTAATTGGTGTAATAAATGGTAGGAGTTATTCCCAAAACGTGAGTGATATAAATGCAGAGTAAAAGCGGAAGTAAATAAATAAGTAAAACGACAAATGGTGGGTTCATGCCTAAATGATTAATTAATTCAGATGATTATAGTTATTAAAACTCGTCCGTGCGCCGCCCATCTTCCCACCATCANTCCGTAAAGTAAAGAACTTTAATGTCCATTTATTTTGGAAACGGTTGTGATTAATTGGTGTAATAAATGGTAGGAGTTATTCCCAAAACGTGAGTGATATAAATGCAGAGTAAAAGCGGAAGTAAATAAATAAGTAAAACGACAAATGGTGGGTTCATGCCTAAATGATTAATTAATTCAGATGATTATAGTTATTAAAACTCGTCCGTGCGCCGCCCATCTTCCCACCATCAGTGTCCTCCAGGGTTAGCACCTGTATTGTCATGTCTACCTGCGTGTAGCAAAAACAACTACACGCTCAGCAAAAGCTGAGGAGTGAATCTAACAAAAGAACATGAAGTGATAACCCATATGATTATACACATATTAATACATGTACTTTAACGTACGGAAAACCACATGTTTACTTACTGATTAATTCGCACTTGATGGGATATTTTTACACATAACAAAATGAATAACAACCACATTGAATGTTGATGTGACGTGGAACATACATGATGATGACGACCACATTGAATGTTGACATGACATGGAACACACATGATGACGATATGACTTTATGCATGACTTAACTCTTAGGGACACCCCTGGCTTAGTCTCACTTGACAGGATCACCCCTGCACTCTGGTAATGAGCCGGGCTCGACGAAAATGTCGCAAGTGAACTAGCAAAACTGGGTAGTAGCCGTAACCTGACTACTATGTACGAACACAAAGCCCACCTGATGAAAACCCATTTGATCCCAATGGTTCCTAGACGGGCCCACTGTAGTAGGCGCATGAAAGCCTGACCTCCCTACAGCGGTATGCACATGATGAAAAACCTAGGACATGCGTCTAGAATGGACATGATGAATGCTTGATATATTTACCTTTGGTCAACGCCAAGAATATATCAATTAAATAACATATATAATGAGAATTAACATTTCGTGCAAACATACAACCAGATTCTGTGTCAATATGGTCAACGGGGCTCGTTCTACAAACTGCCCGGAATTCTGCCCGCGGAACGGTCGACCATGACCTACCGGCGGTCGACCGTGGGCTATGGTCTGGGTCTGGGTCTCAAACGGTCCACCGTGGTCTTCCGTCATGGCTGACGGTCGACCGTCCCGGCGGTGACCGCTAGACTGGCCGAGGGTACGGTCCACCGTCTGAAGTAACGGTCGACCATCCCGGTGACAGTCTTCTGTCCTTGGCTGCGTTTTGATCCATTTTCCAAAGGTAAATATATCAAGCATTCATCATGTCCATTCTAAACCGCTGGACTGGCCGAGGGTACGGTCCACCGTCTGAAGTAACGGTCGACCGTCCCGGTGACAGTCTTCTGTCCTAGAATTAGAGGGGACAACTACTCACCTCTAAATGATGTGTTGAAACCACGATAGGACGAGATGAGCGAATGGATGACGATGAACGAACAAATGAATGAACGGTTGAACGACGAATAACGTACGGCTTCTCGTGTGAACCTCTCCTCTTCTACCTCCCCATCTACTTGCCGGAAAACCTTTTGGAGCTGCTATGACCTGACTGAAAATGCAAGGGAAAGGGAAGAGATGGGTGTTATGGTTTGGGGAGGTTACACATGATGAGAGAAATGAAGGGGAAGAGGAATTTATATTTAAAAGAATTGATGGAGGAATAATAGGGTATTAAAAGTGGTATTGAGTGGGGGTGGGGGGTTATGGGAGAGGAAAGGGTGTGTGGCGTGAGTATTGAGGTGGAATTAAATGGGGAGTTATCTCCCTAAACTCTACTCTGTTGTGTAGAATCTGACCCAAACAGTACACGGTTTTTCCCCCGAATGGATCCGAATTGAGATCCGGTTGTGTTTCCGGAATCAGACAGTCAAAACGAATTTAATGACATGTTCAAATAATTTTTCTAAGAACTTTATTTTCAAACTTCCGGGTCCACCCCAATCATTAATTAATTCATTTAATTATTGTTGACAGGTCCGTTATTAAAACGTCTTTTTATATTAACATACATTAGCTTTGAAAAGCCATTTAAAGAGATCGAATTCTCAATATTTATTAATTTAAAATAATGAGTCTTAATAAATAAATAATATTTATTTATTTAAAACTAGGCCAGTTTTAGGGCGTTACAACTATATCCCCCTTAAAGGAATTTCGTCCCCGAAATTCTCTCTTAGTCGCACCTCACATGTTTAGGGAGATAGTGCGTTATCCAAAACTTTGTTTTGTGAAGCATACGAGGCCATAATAGATTAAAAACCCATTGACAAATGAGCGTATAACGCAATTAGTATGACGCTTCGATGTGTGCTCACGTGCTCAGGCTTCCCATGTGGGACAGCCTGTCCATCATTGCCTACTGCTTGGCTCATTCTCTATAAGAATAGCTTAAATCAGAACTAATTACAATATGACATATAAATGAATAAAATAACGGTGTACCTTTCCCTGAGAGTAATGTGATGGGAGATGCGGCTGTGGACTTTTTGAAAATACCCTTTGACCAAGATGACAAAATATTTTTTTT